GGGGGTCCTCCGGCAGACTAGGCCTAAGTCAGCCTAACTAGGGGCTGGTACAGGGCAAGCCTGAGCCAGCCCTAACTATAAGCTTTATCAAAGAGGAAAGTCACCAGGAAACTGTAAGAGAAGTTTCTGTTCTCTCACACAAACTTCCTTCTGGGCTCTGACCAGCTCAGACCCTTGCTCCTTGCCCCCGAACCATCAAAGGGGGGTCAATTGCTCACTTTCTTCTGGACCATGACCTGCATGTCCACAGCAGGGCCATAACCTGACACCAGGAAGTTAGTGCACAAACACAAGGTTTGCAACTAACTTTCCAGCAACAAGGAGAGCCAAGTTGAGTTAGAACCCCAGCGTCTAACTCTGCATGAGCCCCGAGCGACCGGTTTCCTCAGATCTGCACCTTCTTAACAAGGACACAACAAAGACTGCACCTGGAACCACAGCTCTTTCCAGCCTTCCTCTGCCGGCTAACAAAAGCAGCACACCTCAAACCAACCAAGTAAGGAATGGTAACGTTACAACTGGGCATTGCTTCTTCACAGCTTTACAGAGTAAGCAAGACTGTTTGACTTGTTGTATGTGATTTAATGCTGTCATTGAGTTATTGTTGTGATTGTTTGCAGTCAGGTCATTGATTAGTTGGCTTCTCCAAAGCTAAGTGATGTTAGTTTGCCAATGCTGTTCACAGACAACGTCTTGCATGCAACTAAACATCCTCTGCACTAACCCAGGCACCTTTTGCAACTCAAATCACATTCTCATAGACTAATTTGCAAATTTGCTTTCAACAGAGCTACACCCAAAGAGACATCTCAAAGTCCTGCTTCTTCTCCTTTGTCTTTGTTCTGACCACACAGTCAGACAAACACCTCTCCCGACCTGAAGCTAGCTTTGATTTGGCCATCTTGTAGTTCTTTGTTGTCAGCCATTTTGTTTTGTAGGCCATGTGGCCCTTTGATTACCACACCTGCCTTTGTCTTTCTCTCTCTCTCTCGCCCACACACACACACACACACACACACGCTTGCTTGTATATAGTTTTTATAGAATTTGTGTGTTTTGCTTACTTTGTGAATAAATATATTTTTGGAATCATACCTGCTGTCTGTTTAATGTTGCACAAGAGTAAATGAAGAGTCAGCCTCTGCTGCGTCAAGAACTCAGAAATCCTTCAAGCTTTACTATTAAATTTGGTTATGGTTATTATTTTAATTATTAATCAAAATTCCAAACTAATAGTTTAGTGAACTTTTTGAGACTGATATCTTTACTGGCTATCACTTTTCCCTTCTTAGGAATGGTGCCCCACGAGCTGATTTAATGTAAATTACGTCACATAATTTAACATAATTAATCGTCATAATTAATAAGTATTTATTATTTCAGATAGCCAATTTGATACTTTAATTGGAGATCTATTACGAGGTCAGGCCTGTGTTAAGGCTTAACTAATGGTGCTGCCATGTAAAACACAGCACTGGTGCCTAGATCACATTTTGGTTTCCCCACATGACACAAAGTATTGTTACAGATTTCCAACAAATAGTATCCCCGCTTTTATAATACCAGTAGATTCCCTACAATCTGGTGCCTCTGTGTGACGCCTATTATTGGATTCCCAACAGTATCATAAATGTTTGTTTGCTACAGAGCTTATTTTCTGCAAAAATCCAAAATCCATTGAAAAAGTTCAGTGGCTTTTTGACGAGGACACCAGGGCGTAACTATATCGTCATCGACCTACAATAAACCGTCATCCCATCTTGAATGGGGATAAAATTATTTAATCCCAGGGTTCTTCAAGATTTAGAAAAGTTATCGGACTGAACAGATTAAATCCCAATAGTGAAACTAGGCATTTCGTGGGGTCGTCACACGAAAAAAACAAAAAAACAAAATCAACTGATTTACAAACGTCTCTTTCACAATATAAGGCTATGGGGGAAAGTCTTTGGGACGTAACTCCACATTTGGCCACTATGTAAAATCTGCAAGCCTCCAGGAGAGCCACTCGCCCTTGCAGCAAATTTTTCCCAGTGGCCACTTGCGGTACGGCGATGAAAAAAATCCCGTCCCCAGAAAGCTTTTTCCACATAGATCACTATAAGAGACATCTGTCAAACTGTTGAAAGGACACCAACAACTTCAAACTAGGTCAATTATGACTCTTTGAGTTTTTGAGCCATGGTAATTTTAAACATGTAACATTTTCCTCAAGTTCAAGAAAAGCGATTTAAAAATTCAGTGATGTCATCACAATATAAAGCTTATGAGCCAAGCAGGAATTCGTGGGCGGGACCAGCGGGAGAAACACTTCCTACACCGAGGAAGTAAACCCGGAAGCTAGAAAACTTTTTTGGTGTATGTGTCAGGTGAGCAACCCCACTGAATTGAATAGGCGCCATCTTGGTGTCCAGTATCTGGTATCCTTAAAATCTACTCAAATTTGCTTCAAAGCTCGGCACTGTTCCTGGGGGCTTGGAGTTTGACATAAGACTATGAAGGCATTGATTTTTTGTATTTTTTGGCATATGTGAGAGATGTGATCTAAAAGGATTAAAAGGTAAGTTTTCATTTCATCTTAACTTTAAGTAAAGGATTCAAATACTTCTTCCACCACTCCCAAAATAAAGCTAGAAGGAGAATGGATATTTCTCGTCAGTTAGCCAAAGACACAACTCCAAATGAATTCTACAGGCGAATTTATAAGGTGATAGTATATTACTGTTTGGTTAACAGCACCAACACCGCCCCCAAGTGGCAGATAAGTAAATAATACAGCTTTAAGATGGATTTCTAATTGGTGCATGACTGTGAAAGATGATGTTGCCATACTGTATGATAGTTGGAGAAAGAGACAAAGTGATAGATGTGCACGTGTCTTTCATTCATCTTTATTCCTCTTTGTAACGTTCACATGAGCTGACACATTCATGTTGTTCTAAATGTTTAATAATGATGTTCTTCTTGTGACCGTCCTGGGTTTTAAATATTAACTTATCTTACACACAGTGAAAAAGCTAACAGGGAACACACACACTGCTCCCTAATGCTCGATTCCCTGTGTTTCAAACCTGGGGCTCGGGACCCCTCAGCAGGTCGGGGGTTACATCCCACATTTACAGCACAACACATTGTTTTATTGACAGACGACACAGCTGTCATCCGGCTCATTTAAAGCAACACTGATGAACTATGACGAGCTGTTCCCACTTTGAATTTTACACCAGTCAAAAACATCCAATCAACTTCCTAATAATGTACTTCATCACTTTGACTGGCCCGAATCAGATACCACACCCAGAACGTCTGACTATGAACATGGCTTCAGAACTAACCCAAAAATTAGGTATAACCACGTCTTCTCACGGCTGGAAGCTCCTGAGCAGTATGAAATAAGGGCAGTGGTCACAGAGACTGTACCGTTACAGAGAGGTCAGAGGTTTCATCAGCAACTCCGAATCCAAGCTGCTGATTATTAGAAAAATAACACAAAAAAAAACAGGTATTCGTGTGCATAAAATACATTTAAAAATGACAGTCCCACTCTCTGAATCCTGTCTGAAGTGATTGTTAGCTAACCTCCTCCCCTCGCACAGCGAATATCCAGTTTACGGGGGGTGACAGACTGAATTTATGTTGTGATTTTTTAAGTGATGGGTCCTGGTTTCAGACGGGAATTGATAAATACAGGTTTCATATTTCTATGCAACAGCTGCTGCATTTGCTGATAAAATGAGAGCTTTTGTTGGCTGATTTTATGAGCTGTAGCTAGCATGCTAATCAAGTTAATATTAGCTCCAGTGGTCAGCTAAAAATGCAAACCGTTACATCTTCTAAATATTTATGTCACCAGCAAATGTTGAAATGATAATCTTGCAAAAGTAGATGAGAAAAGTACACAGGTTTCTGATTTGTATCCATCAATCACTGCATTAGCATGCTAATCAAGCTTGAAAATGGCTACTAAATCTGACTGCGCCCAGCAAAACTGTTTTGAAACCAGAATCTTGTAAAAGTAGATTAAAGACGTAAAAGCAGGTTTCTGATTTGTATCCATAAACTAATGCATTTAGCATCTGAAATAAGAACTTTCTGATTTTATGAGCTGTAGCTAGCAAGCTAATCAAGCTAATATTAGCGCCATTACTCGATTTAAAACGCCTAAGTTACTTCTAAATTATGTTACCAGCAAATCTTGAGACGATAATCTTGTAAAAGCAGATAAATAAGTAAGCAGGTTTCTTATTTCTATTCGATAACTACTGCATTTGCCATCTGAAATGAGAACTTTCACTGGATGATTTTATGAACTGTAGGTAGCTAGCTAATCAAGCTAATATAAGCTACATGACTCGGTTGAAAACACCTACCCCGTCTGACTTTTTAATGTGACCAGCAAAATTGTTTCAAAATGAGAATTTTTAAAAAGGAAACCAAAAAGTCGCTGCATGTAAAATTCAAAGCATCTACGTTGTCTGCACACGGTTCTCAACATGGAAGTGGCTGGGCAGGCGGCTAGCAGCTAACGGTGTGACTCCTTAAATGGTGCTTAAGCCGCCGTTACAGCGGTGTCCAGATATGAGCAGTAACTACCGGATGAGTACAGTGCATAGCGGGGGTGATGAGCTAGCCAGTGGAATACACATATTCATGTGCATCCAGACCAGCCTAAGACAACCAACCACAGAGAAGCTCGGACTACAACACACAGAGGTAGCATGACTTAATTCTCTGCTCAGGATGCCATTACTCCAAAATCTTTACATAGCAAACAGACCTAGTGGTTTAATGTTGTGTTAATGCTCTTAATGTCACATACAGATAAATATGCACTTGAAGGCTACAAACATGATGCTCAAAAAATACAAGGCAAAAATTTGGTTTTAACCCTTCTGCAAAGTTCTCCTGTGACCAGGAAGTAGCATTTGACTACCTCCACCAAGGGGGTGAGGGTTTCAGTTAGTTTGTTTGTCAGCAGGATTATGAAACATGCAGAACTTGACCTGCTCTGCTGTGCCTAGTTCAGATGGGACAATCACTGTTTTGGGGGGGAGGGGTCAGATTTCTTTTATTGAGTTACAGACAGTAGGAGAAGCCGATCACCAGTTCACGAGGAGTGTTAGCACTATTTTTCCATGGCAATGACTGTAAAGGGCCCTCAGTAAGGATCCTTGTGGTTTGCATAAATTAGGACCTTTTAGGACACACATAATACAACACATACTACAAAAGACCTTCATAGAAAAAACAAGATTAACTACCTAAAGCAAAAAAAATACATTAACATTGAAAGGCATTTTTACAGAATGTTCATTAAAGATCGATGCCTTTATACACAAGCAGGAAGATGTTCACCCAAAAACAGAGCGAAGCTGAACTGACTGCTCTTTTATCACTTTGTGTGAAGAACCCTCAAAATAAACATATAAAGGCAAATCCAAAAGGAATATACAGGTAAAAGAGAAACAATATCATACAGTTTAATACAGATATAACTTAAAAAAGATAAATATCACTTATTTTTGTTTTATATACAGCAAGCCAGTGCTTATTCAATGACAGCATCAAACTAGTTTCTCAAACTATGGCTTGGGACCGGGTCACTGACCAGCATCTGACTGGTTTTAGAGTCTGGATCCTGCAGTGACCGTGTCCAGGTTTCCAGTTATATCACGTAAGCACTTCAAACTCAAAATGAAAATCTTCATTAAAGGCGTCTGCAGTAGACGAAAGTGAAAGTGGTGGGTTTGTGTCTCTCTTGTCTGAGTTAATGTCTCTGTCTAGAGTTGTGAACCTGGCAGGAGTGCCACCTGATCTTCCTCTTTTTTGTGTTTCCTTCTGATTTTCCCCAAATCTTACTTTTCCTCTTTGTGCTTTGTAATGGCAGGAGCCGTCTCATGTTTTACAACTCTCGTTATTATCATAGACCATACAAAATAACGTGGCTACCATGGCTTCACCCATTGGTTCATGAACTCTTGTTGTGAAATTTTTAGTTTTCAGCTGTCGCCATCTTGAATTTTGGAGCCAAAAGTGATCATATGTGAAAGAGAGGGTGGCGCCAACTCATACCCCTTTTCCAGCAACATGGAATGGATTCTGTTCTGGTTCCTGCGCCTATTTTGAACTGCTCTGAGAATTTCAATCAAAAATAAATTGATTCAGAACCCTCCATCCATCCATTTTCATCCACTTATCCGGGGCTGGGTCGCGGGGGCAGTAGGCCAAGCAAAGCACCCCAGACGTCCCTCTCCCCAGAAATGCTTTCCAGCTCCTCCTGGAGGATCCCAAGGCGTTCCCAGGCCAGATGAGATATGTAATCCCTCCAGTATGATCTGGGTCTGCCCCGGGGCCTCCTACCAGTGGGATGTGCCTGGAACACTTCTAACAGGGGAGATGCCCAGACCACCTCAACTGACCCCTTTAGATGCAAAGGAGCAGCAGCTCTACTCCGAGCTCCCTCCAGATGTCTGACTCCTCCCCCTATCTCTAAGGCTGAGCCCAGACACCCTACAGAGGAAACTCATTTTGGCTGCTTGTATCTGCAATCCCATTCTATCAGTCACTACACAAAGCTCATGACCATAGGTGAGGGTTGGGACGTAAATGGACCAGTAAATCCAAAGCTTCGCCTTCTGGCTCAGCTCCCTCTTCACCACGACAGACCGGCGCAGCGTCTGCATCACTGCAGAAGCTGCACCAAACTGCCAATCCATCTCACACTCCATTCTACCCTAACCCTAACCATTCAAGAAGAACCAACCTTGAATCAACCTTCATGACAAGGAATATTCAGGCTTCGAGCAGCTCATCCGGTATGGGGACACTGGGGCCCCCTTATGGAGCCAGACCTCCATAAGTCTTGCCAGCGAGCGTCTCGTGGCCGGGCCTTGGGCAATGCCCAAAGACACAGAGCAGCACGCTGTGGGCCCACCGCCCGCAGGGACAGAATCAGGGTTCGGTGCATTGTGTGCCAGGTGACAGTGCTGATCCCTGGCATCGCGGACTGGTTCATCGCAGATTTGGAACCCTGAAAAGGTCATTCTCAGCTGGAACCAAAAAACCTCAGTCTCAGCATCAGTAGGTGCATCATATTCTACAGGTTGGAAAGAGAGGAAGCTCAAGGCTTGGTGTGCAGTGGTCTCATTAATAGTATTAGTATTAATAATCAATGCAATCCATCTTGCTACTACTGTTAACTTCCATTTTATATTGTGCAACACCCTTTGTTGATGACACATCCTTGATTACAATGGTTCCATACAAAGGTGGTGGAATTGCGGGCTGGTTTGGAAGATTGCACCAAGGTTCTGAGAATCCCAGACACAACCAGTTCAGGAACCAGAGCTAATTTGGTGGAAAATAGGTATCATTGGCTGTGGTGACGCCTGGCAGACTGCCTGGCACTCAAAGTGGCCACGCCCTTAATTTTGAGTGACTTTAAACCTTAATAAAATGTAAACAGGTGAGTTGTATAAAACTTCACCTCTGTACAGTTGTTATGAACGTTCAAATTAGCAATTGAGACCAAAACTGTTTTCTGTACCAGGCTGTAAAGGTGTATTCCTACATTTTAACATGGGTGTCTATGGGGACTCGCTCTTGGAGCCAGACAGAGGAAGTGCAGGTTTTGGCACTTTGGCAGCATTCGGCTTCAGTTTTGTTTTTTTTTGCTCCATTTTCTTTGTCCTTGCTTTTTTTCTTTGTCTCTGGTTGGTTAACAGACAGACCTCACCTGTAAACAGGAAATATGTTCCATATCAAATGTATAACTTCCGCTCTTCCCTACCTTTTCTGAACAATAAACGAGTCACTATGTTTCGAAGGAAGTGCTTCACATTCCGAAAAATTCCGAAGAGCACACAAACTTCAACGTAGCCTCTGACAAGGTGCGTGGAAGTAAAAACATAGGCAGGATTTGTTCTTCTCTCAACATCAACTTTTCATGTGTACAAGTGCACAAAACCATACACTTTAAAGACCTTCAGGGAGTGTGCTGTTACCCCTATTCGAACATTTATTGTGCCGTGCCCCTCTTAACGTCATACATGTCCATTTCAAGCATTGTCCGGCTCTAATTATTCCACAGTCTCAGTCATTACTGGAATACATGAGTGCACTAGTTTCTTTTTAACCGCTCTTTTTTAACCCTCCTCTCATATTTCTGATTTGACATTTACACCTCTCTCTATACATTGGACTCTACAAAAGGTCTTTTTGGTTTGACAGGAGAGGTAGGGCCCGTCTGTCTGTCACTGGGTCTGTCTGAGCAGCTATGAATCACCGGCAGCGTTCGGGCCAGCTTCACATCCAGGTAGGAGGGATTCTGACTGGCGATGTGCACCGAGCCTTCGCCCTGAGGATAGTAGTCGCGCTGGTTGTCATTGTGGGCGTTGTTGTTGCTGCGGTTGTGGTAGGCGATGGAGGATGGCTGGGGTTGACCGTAGCCTCCTTGAGTGGTGGGGGCTTTGCTGGGTGAGGTTACAACCGTGTCCACTGATGAGACGGCCCAGGAGCGAGACGGGCTGAGACAGGACGCTGAACTGGATGGAGCTTGTTGTTGGTACTGCGGCTGAACCCTCGCCGTCCTGTCGATTATGCCCATAAAAGGAGTGTTCCTAGATGATCGGCCGGCCTCTCCAGGATAAGTCCCGCCTCCGACCATGCATATTTCTGATTGGTGAGAGGAGATCAGAAAGAGATCGTCATGGTAACCAGTGACCCCTCCAACCGAGGTCAGATCTGAAGGTGAATCCATGTGTTGGACGGAGGCCGAGGTCCTAAAGCCTTGGCTGTGATTACCGGGCTGCCCACCTGCAAGGCTGCCGCTGCTGGTGGAGAAACGGACACTGATACTCTGGGAGTGGGCAAGAGGCCTGGGGGGAGGAGCCGGGGCGGAGGTTGGGTGGGCACTGAGCGGGCGTCGTAGTCCCCCCTGATACTGGTATTGGAAATCGTGCAACGGTGGAAGGCTATCAGGAGGTTCCACTGTCGACTCGGTAACTTCCATGGGGTAGTAGGCTGCTTTGGATTGGTTGCGAGTGAAGTGACGGGACTGGCCAAATATATTTACACCCGCCCTCTCCCCTCCTCCTTCTCTCCCGTAGGCTGGTGCAGGTCTTACCTGGCAAACCAAGTCAACGTCTTCATCATTCAGTGGATATGAAGCTGCAGAGCTCAGACCAGCCTGGGCCTGCAGGCTGGGCCTGATGTCGAGGGGGTTCGGGCAGATGCCCTCCCCCAGCTCAGCCAGTTCTTGTGGCAATTGGCCAAACTGGGAGTAAGCAGAAATCATGCTGGAGTGGGCCGAGGAACTGGGCTGACTGGTTCTGACGACCTGGACTTTGGCTGGTTGGAGCCACTGGCCTTGAACTGTGTTCTGCTTCTGGAAGGATCTCTGATTGGACAGGTGGTGGAGCTGCTGCCCTCTCTGGCTCTGGTGGTGGTGGTGGTGACCTCCATTCCCTGACAACGCAGGCATACTTTCTGACATTGGACTGGGTCGCTGATGCTGCATCGGAGAGGGAGGAGGGCTGAAATGGGGATAAGAGGAGGATAGAGGAGGAGGCACAGAGTGACATGGAGAAGACGGGGAGTGGGTGGGGCTGGGGAGGTGACGATACAGGTGAGTGGGGGAAAGAGAGGAGGATGATGGCACGCCAGGGCGGCCGTGGGTGTCAAGACTTTGAACCACAGGTGGAGGGTGGAAGGAGGAGTGAGGAGGAGGAGCATCTCCTTCCCTGTGACTCCCCTCCTCCCTTTGCTCCTCTTCCTCTTCTTCCTCAGTAAGCCCCTCCCTGTCCTGCACCTGCAGACAACCTGAGTCTCTGCTCCAGGCCTCATTAACGGCCACGTTTTGTTGATGAACACGATGCGACGAAGGAGGGGGAGAGTCTTGTTGTTGTGCAGCCTGCCGACACTCCTCTTTGACCCGGGACAACAGCCGCTGGATCTCCCGGTTGGTTGGGCACAGGTTGCTCGCCTCAATCAGGTCCTCCAGGGCGGCATGGAACTGTCTGCATGGTGAAGAAGAGTAGAAGCAAAGACAGAGGTACGATATCAGAAGATGACATAAAGACAGTGCTGCAATAATCGATGCAGGGAGAATCTGGGGATCCAAACTAACTTAAGACTTTCGGTTCTAGAGAAGTCATGAGAACAAATACTTCTGTACCAAGTCGATACCAAAATTCTGAAAACATGACGGCACTGGTTTTTCTTCAATACCTTAGATGCGTACCAGTGTTCTTGATATTTAATGCCAAAGGAAGAGAAAGAACAGCGACCAGCACATAAGAACAACAATGAGGAAGACAGCGACAAGTGAAGGTGCGGCGACAGCTCCGCCTCAACTCGTCAAATAGAAGAGTTTTTTTTTTTCCTAACGCCAGTGTCTTTTGTTAGTTCTTTGCGATGGCAACCACTCATATTTATACTCTGATACAAACAACAGCAGCTTGATGTGACGCTGAACGCTGGCGGGGCAAGCAGCCAAATGCGAAGACCAACTCCAGTTTCCTCGTCCCCAAAATCTCATGAACCCACACAGACTGGTACTTTGTGTTCAAGACAGATTATCAGGGATTAATAATAATAAAAAATGTTTTTAATAAAGAAGAGTTTGTTTGTGGGATTTATTGTTTTGTTTTCATTTTTTACTCTGGTGTTGAATTTGGTGCTGAGAATGGGTGAGTTGGGGACAGGTTTGGCATCTTTGGTATCGTCTCACACGTCGTCATGTCACCATGGTTACCTGCGTCCACGTTTGGCGCGGGCTCGGGCGTAAAAGGCTTCGTAGGATTTTGCTTTCAGCTCCAGCGCCTTGGTTGCAAACTCCTCAGCGAGGCCAAAATCCTGCAGGGAAAATAAAAAGAGTTTGTGATGGTGTGTTGACACCGAAGAAGGAAGAGATGAGATTGTCTTCAAAATAAAAGGGACTGACGTTCATCTTGCGGTGGCAGCGGGAGAGGTTGAGCAGCACACACACTCTCAGCTGTCTGAACGTCTTCAGCTCGTCGCCCGGAAACTTCTGGAGAGCCGACTGGTAGGAGTGAGCTCCTTCCCTCACTTTACCTTGCTGCAAATACACACATAGAAACGAGACGTCATCGGTAATCATGCTGTGTGTGTGTGTGTGTGTGTGTGTGTGTGTGTGTGTGTGTGTTCTTGAGTGCATGTGTGTTACCCTGTACAGTCTGTCTCCCTCTTGGATCAGTTTACTGAGCAGAACCATTAGGATGTCGGGTTTAGAGGTCGCCATGGCCCACGTCGCTGGTCCTACACACACACACACACACACACACACACACACACAGTGATATCAGCAAACATCTGACAAACGTTTGATTTCCTCTGTAAAGAAGATTACTGTGTTCAGTCTCAGATTTCTGTTTGTCAGTTATCAGTATTTTAATAAATGACAGCGGATCCATCTGTGTGTCACAGTAACCAGTATGAGGCACTCGGCGGGCCGGGTGGCTTCAGGATCTGGGTAAAAGGCTCATATCTACCACGCACGTCTCTGAAGGTTTCGACACACTGGAGTTTTGTGTGGCTGCTAGTGTGAAAGGTAACATCAGTGTAGCCTGGCAGGTTTTGGTTTTTGTCCAGCTGTACATCAGGAGGGATGTTATTTTAGGAGAACAGGAAGTGTGCTTTGTTTTCTCTGTTCTATGGTTGGCACCACTCACCGCCCTTCCCTTTGCGTCCGCCTGGCTGGCTTCTCCTCTGTGAAGCATCTCTGTGTGTGTTCATGTAATTTCACTTCTGTCGGTACACTAAACAATAAATGGCGGTGCTTGCCTGACGACATCGGCTTCACGTTACATCCGTTACCCTCAGCCGTCTAACAGGTTTGTATCACAGCCGCTCAGTTATTAGCAAAAGCAGTGACGTAGGTTAGATCACTGATAATAATAATAACAATAACTAAAGTGGATATTTTGGATTTTTGCAGTGGGTTGTGTGAAGTTCTCATGGCTACGACTCAGCTGTCAGAAAACTTTTCAGCTAGCTAACGTTGCAGCCATAAACAAGTTTCTGTGATCCATCGCCTGTTTGATAATCTAAACAAAGAACATGTTTGCTTGTGGTGGTTCTACTAAAACGACCTGTGGTGAAACTATATTCTTAATGGTCCCTGATTAAGGAGCTGATGAGGAAACAGCGTTAGCTTGCGGAAAAATGTTCTTCTTCCACTTTAAACAACCAGTGGCAAACACAAGTCTAACGTTATTTTTTCAACAGCAATCTAAAATGTATATTTACACGTCTGTTGTACTATCCTACGTGTCCTCTCTTGCATCACTTCCTGTCTGTGTCTCTGCTTGAACACATGCTAGTCGTGTGTTCGTACCAATCTTGGCTCCCTTTTTGAGCAGAGCGATGACTGCTGAGGTGTTTCTGCAGCCGACCGCCCGGTCCAGAGGACGCATCCCGCTGCAGTCCACGTGCTCCACCGACGCACCGTGATCCACCAGGTGCTGCACCTGTAGGAGAAGACACGCCCACATTTAACATCTCTTACTGACTTCAGATTTCTCTCCTGAACAGAAGGAGCCTCGTCACCAGCTCCTTCACTTGCGTTGTGACGGGACGGACTCTTCTACGCACCACTTCAGGGTCACCGCGGAACGCAGCCAGATCCAGAGGTGTGCGTCCGCTGCGGTCAGCGTGAGTCGTGGCTGCTCCTCTCTCCACCAGCTCTTTGACCAATGGGAGCTGGCCTTTGAGACACGCCCAGCTCAGCGCCGTTAACCCCTCCCTGTCCGTCTGCTCAAGAGACGCTCCTGGGAAAACAAAGAAAGATTCATCTCAGGGCGGAGCGTAACGTGGGGTCAGAGGTCTTCCTCCACTCACTGATGATGTGACATCACAGGTGGTTACCATGATCCAGCAGCAGCTGGGCGCTGGTCACATGTCCCTCTGAGGCTGCCGTCATCAGAGCAGTTCGACCCTGCTGGTCCATCGTGTTGACCTCCACCCCGTGACTCAGTAAGAGCTCCACCACCTGACGAGAGACGGAGACAGACGCTCAGCACCACCGAGTGTGTGTGTGTGTGTGTGTGTGTGCGTGTGTGTGTGTGTGTTCTGTACCTGCCAGTGTCCTCGTCTCACAGCGCTGACGAGTGGAGTGACGCCGCGCCTGTTGCCTTGTTCTACAGCCGCTCCCTGATCCAACAACAGTCTGCAGACAGACAGGCAGCCACTTCCTGCTGCTGCTGTCAGAGCTGACACACACACACACACACACATACACACACAGATACACTGTCAACATGTAACAACATGTTACGACCAATTCACACTTTTTAACAGATCTTATGGCATCACCAACTAGAATCACCGCCCTGCAGCTGTACGTCTCCACTGACCTTTGACCTTTGACCACCAAAATCTATTGATGTCATCGTTGAGTCCAGGTGGACGTTTGTGCCAAATTTGAAGAAATACCCTTGAGGTGTTTTTGAGATATCGTGGTCACAAGGACGGGACAGAGTTGTTCTGATCCTGGTAAACTGAGGCAGCTGTGTCGGACTGTAGTGCTCAGTTTCCTCCACTAGAGGTCAGTGACGTAGCACCGCAGCCACTGACTGACAATCTCTCTTATTTACTACTGTCTTGGAGGTCTTTGAATGCACCTTAGAGTCAATGATGGGAGTCACCTTCTGACCTGCAGAACCTTTAACAGCAACACGTGACGTAACTTCAGTTCTGGTTCAGTTTGCCACTGAAATATTCTGATTCACAAGGTGGCGCCTGTTATTACTGCTTTGTTTTTATTTTTAACTATTTATTTATATATTTGTATTTTTATACGACCCTTTCAGTATTTTCTTTCTTGCTTTTTTTTGTAATTCTACTTTACGTATTATTTTGTGTGTGTGTGTGTGTGTAAGTGAAGAAGTTTTAAGTTTTCATGCACACATACACATATATTAATGTTTTGTATGTGCTACTTTTTGTATTTTGTAATTTTTTAAACAATATTTTATTTATTGGTTAATTGATTCTTTGATTGATTGACTGGTTGAATGATTATTTTTTAAATTATTTTAAATTTCAATTAATTAATGAATTTTATTTATTTTTTACTCAAACATGCTGACAATAAAAAGTATCTTCTTTCCTTTTTTAAAAAATGTATTTATTTTAATTTATTCAATTGAATTAATTTGTTAATTTGTTTATTTCTTCCTGCCTGATTGTTTTTTTTTTACCACTAACGGTTTTTCCAAGGGTTGAAAAATCTTATTTTTATTTTTATTTATTGTACCACTATTATCTAATAATATCATATATGAACAGTCAAATGTTTTATTTGGTTATTTGATCATTTTATTACTTTATTTAAAAAATAAATTGTAATGATGTGCTGGAAGATTTGCTCCAACTTGGTTCTAAATAAAATTTTAAATTAATAAAATAAAATAAAACCCTGCAGTTGTGACTCATCAGCAGTAACAGGAAGTACAGTCGTCATGGTACCTGTCTCCCCCCACAGACTGTCAGCTGTGTTGATCTCAGGTCTCTCCTCCTCTTCCTCGTCTTCCTCTGGGAGATCCAGGAGGTACGACAACAGCTCTGATTGGCCCATGCTGGCGGCTGCGGTCAGCGCCTGCTGCAGCGCCTGACGCCTGCTCGCCTCCCTCTGGCCGCAGCAGGAAGTGCAGCTCCAGTCCGCACGCTTCAGCAGGAAGCTCAGCACGTCGAGGTGACCGCACTGAGCGGCGTGCACCAACACACAGCGACCTGAGCTGTCCACGTGTCCCACCTGAGAGCAGACAGAGAGACAGACACTCAGAGACACCTCGAAAAAAATCTGAATCTGTAATCTGTAATTATTCTGACAGATATTAAAACCATGATTTAATATCTGTCATTTTCTCTATAAACAATAAAAATAATGATGATGTGATTTCTGCTGAGTCTGTACCAAACAAACATGATCCCTCACATCTGGAACAGGACTTGTAGCATCTCTGTAGCCCCACAGTGCTTATTATTTATTATGATGTGATGTGAGACATTTTAGATTTATCAAAAAACTGCAGCAGTTACAAGTCTTGTAATTTTGAGGAGTCAATGACAAAATAAAACTGTCAATAAAACAGGTTATTAAACTGCTGTGAATCACTGCAACCACCTGAGACCTTTAAGCACACAGTCATTAATGTGCACACAAAATCTGAGGCTGATTGCTCCAGTAGTTTGTGAGATTAGCTGCGAAAAGAAAGGAAAGACAACTGTTGGAGACAGCGTTGTTCCTGCTATGACCACTGGGTGGCACCATAGTAAACATTTATATAATTCAGTGACTTCAGAACTAGCAGCAGACACAGGGTCTGAATGAACACCCACCAAATATGACCACGATGGTTGTTTAAAACAGGAAAGCTTCTCTTTTTTGTTTTGTTTTCCTTTGTCGAGCGTTTGTCGTGACTTCCTTTTTGTTTCACTGCAGCAGTTTGATTAATTAGAGGTTAAAATTCCAAAACATCTCAACATCATTTCTACACTGACGGATTTTAAAAATTCTATTTAAAACTTTAATCAAGTTGCAAACCCCAAAATATTCTTGCTCAACAGGTCCCCTGGTTCCTCTGTGATCATTTGGATAATTAAATATTAAAGTCAGACATGTGCGTATAAGTTGATCAGTAAAAATATACATCATCAATATAAACTGAGCTCTGTCCTTTTGGCCACGGTCGGTGGATTATTTAATCTACCAGTCTCTTTGGCCGGTGAGTCGTTAAGTTAATTTCTGACTCTGGGTCGGCGGCTACCTTTGCTCTGTGCTGACTCAACATGGTGACGATGTCCAGATGTCCGGCTGCAGCAGCGAATCCCAGCGCAGTCAGACCATCATGTGACTGAGCGTCCACCTGAAACAGCGACACAGACGCAGACACACGTTTGCTTCCTTTAAATTATCTGAAAAAAATCAAATCATCTCAAACATTACAAACATGTTTTTTTTTAACCTGAGCTCCGAGGTCGAGCAGCAGCGCCACAGCGTCTCTGTGTCCCAGGTGAGCGTGGACGCACAGCAGGGGGGCGTTGTTCAGGACGTCACTCCGCACATCCACATCAGCCCCGCCCATAATCAGCAGCCTGCTCACCTGGACAGGTGGGGAGACGGTTACAGTCCAGCTGTGTGAGCAGGTGTGTGTGGATGAGTGTGTGTGACGTGTGTTACCTTGATGTTGGGGGTGTACAGGTTCCTCAGCGACGACAGAGCAGGACTCAGACTCTCTGTGCTGTAGGACAACCACAGCCCCTGCAGGACTGACGAGGAGACCCCGAGCTTCTTACTCAGACCCTGAAGACGAGGACAGATGCAACGACACAAACTGTTAGACGGACGTTGATATGAACGCTGACGAGGAATCAAACAACTGGATTTTAATGTCTTTATCATTCAGGGACTATTCAGCGTCTTCCTCTTCTCGATCCACGTTATGATCACGTCTCACGACATCGAGTGAAATCTTAACGGCCTGAAAATCCACGATGATGAGTCGCATGTACCAAGAGTTACACAGCTCAGCAGTAAACAGCTGTTTTTAAAAGCTGTCGACTCGATGAGTCCTTCAAACAGGTGGCCCCGCTGTATGCAGATACACATCCCTACCCACCGAGTCAAGGTGTGTGTGTGTGTGTGTGTGTGTGTGTGTGTGTGTGTGTGTGTGTGCGCTGACCTTGTAGATGTGAGCCTTCAGGATGTGATGTCCCAGCTCCAGTGTTTGCTGTCGGTTCAACTTTCCGTCCTGTCTGCAGAGCCAGAACGCCAGCAGAGTGTGACCGCTCCTGGAGACGGACAGACAGACAGAATGTTGACACAGCTTTTGCTCTGTTGTCAGTTGTTCTCCCTACGTCTGAGGATCTGGAGAACCAGAGCATATTCTTTTTTTGGATGCATATGTACTCACAGCAGCTGCTCAAGTATCGTGTGTGTGTGCTCACCATTTTACTTCAGACATCTTTCTCAACGAGCCGATACAAAACAGGATTCACTATATTTCTGAAGATAAAGCAGGATCGGTACCAACTGTCCGTGACCCAACTTTAATCCAGTAAAAACACTGAACAAAGCTGCTTCAGTGTCTGTTTTTCAAAGTCTAGAGTCTTTATCTAGAGCCAGCGTTTGGTTTGTCCATTCTGGGCTACTGTAGAAACATGGCGGTGCAACATGGTGATCTCTGTAGACGAGGACCTGCTCCCTGTGTAGATATGAACGTCTCATTCTGAGGGAACGAGAACACAATTCTTTTTTTTTTTTTAGGTGATTATCCACTGAAGAAAACACATGTATCATATTCTACGTCTGCTGATATTTCCCCTAGGACCCGTCACACTGGAGCTTTACACAAACTGTTGAACTGGCACAAAAAAGAAATGCAAACTCAGCGTGTTTCCATCAACTGATTTGGAGCAAATAAACTTGGCTAGATAAAGTGTACTTTGATCACAAGGTGGCGGTATAGGCTACACTTTACGCAAAGAGACCTGGTTACAGCGTTGAGGGCGGGGCCCTGGTGGCAGAAGGCTCCAGTCCACACTAGTAACTAGTTAAAGACTTCTCTAAAGCATTTGATACTGTAAATCACAATGTCTTATTGGTTAAGTTATATAAATATGGTTTTCAGGATGTTACTCATAAATGGTTGACAAATTATGTTTTTAACAGAGCTCAGTTTGTTTGTGTTAAGGGATGTTATTCTAACAGAGCAAAACTACACTGTGGGGTTCCGCAGGGATCCATTGTTGGACCACTATTATTTCTTATTTATATAAATGATTTAGCAAATGTTTCAATCTCTTCTCTTCTATCATGTTTGCAGAAGACACAACCCTTGTTCTCTCACACTCAAACTTTAGTTCATTCATTGAAAATGCAAATGTTGGTTTAGGTGCCTACGTTGCATTATTTAAAATAAATAATCTCTAAACATTAAAAACTCTAATTTTATTATTTTTAGCGGCAGAAAATCCTATAATATGGATTTATCTCGCATTACAACTGAGTCCATTGAGATGCCGCAGGTATCAACAACAAGATTCCTGGGAATTATCATCGATGAGGGTCTGAGCTGGAGAGAACAAACTGATTGTGTTAGTAGAAAAATAAACCCTTTTCTTTTATAAACACAGGTGTAGTTCCAAAGGTGGCGTTCTGAATCATTCACAAGTGCCCCCCCACCCCCCACGGGCCCCAGTGCAACCACACTGCCTTCGCCTGTCTATTTACTGTTTCTGTGAAAGTTGCTCAGTGGCGCATAAATCTGCTCTGCGTCTGCATCACTGAGCCCACAGAGCAGGAGCATGAGAGACTTCTGCCGGCTGAGTGGCTAACTTCCTGTTTAGCCCTCTGCTAACTTGAAGGGGATAAAATTATTTAACCGTGCGTCTCTCCGAGAGTTTCAAAATGATATCGGACACAATGGATCAAATACTGATGGTGAAATGGGACGTTCTGTGGAGGCTGTGATACTCATAAAGTCTTTAACAACATAAATCAATGGGAAAAGTCTTGTTGGGTCCCGGAGCTGTTCACACACACTGTAACCTGCCAGTATACAGAGTAGAAGAAGAAGAAACACCAGGAGAAGCAGACACAAAACAAGTTGTCTGAACATCCACAGGAGAAAAATGACCAAAGGTCTTCAGGAAGTTGTTCTAGTTGTGCAACTTTTAATTGCTCTTTCACATCAGAAAGTGTTGACCACGTGTCGTGGAGTCCAGAGACGAATACATATTGAAGCAGTGGTCTTTGGAGACGCCGTCAGCAGAAACAGCTGATCGGTGATCTGAGGTGAATGTTCCCACATCCCGTTTATCCCATCAACTCTTTTTCCAGAAAACTTTTTCGCACAATTAATCAAATTTAAAGATTTCCATACAGCTTTTCTAACGTGATGCTTGTAGAACAAATTAAGGGAACACGTGTGCTGTCGGTCAGCGTACCTGGGGTCGCAGAGGAACCTGTCGTCCTGACCCTCCTCTCTCCACATCAGCCACTCCCTGAAAGAGGCGTGGTTCAGCATCCTGCTGCCGTCGCTCCGTCGCAGCAGGAAAGGCGAGAGCTGCTCCACCCGGTGCACAAACTCTCCCCAGTGCAGTGTCCCTCCGCTCAGAGCGCCGGCGTTTACCACCTCAAACAGCTGGAGGGGGAGAGGAGCAGTCACAGATCAGCTGGAATCAGAATCCAGGTTCAATGAATCAAAGATGAACTGACGAGACGACTTCAACGCGACTGAGAGGCTGCAGCTCTGTGAGCTCATGTGTTCATCATACACGTCCTTCATAATGTTCTCAGCCCCTATAAACTCTAAACTCTCCCGTTTGAACAGGTGTCTCAGCAAAACAAAAGCTTTACTGCAGATTTATGACCAGAAAAATGTGACACACACTCACACGCACACACAGCTGCTTCTTAGATTAATCTTCAGGTTCTCAGCTTCTGTGTGACGTCTACTGCTGACCTGCTGTCTCCTCCTAAAAAGACAACAATGTCTCTGTGTGGGTCTCAGAGAGTGAACAGAGTATTTACACAGAGTGGTGTTAATACTTTTACTTCAGTAGAGTAACTGAGTACTTCCTCCATCACTGTTGGAACTAAACATGGAGTAAATCTCCAACTGCAGGTTTCTGGTCACAGACAACTTGGACAAATAAACATTTTGATCTGATGATGGCGCTGGAGTCACATACACACACACACACACACACACACACACACACACACACAGATGGCGTGTTCTGTACCTGCTGGTCGGTCAGTGGGTGCAGTGACGCCACAGTCACGTTGAGAAGTGGCAGAACTCTCTGGAAAGATGACTGGGTGGGAAACCGCATGTTGAGCTGCAGCAGGTAGACTTCAGCTAGACTCACAGGGACCACCTACACACACACACACACACACACACACACACACACACACACAAACATTAGAGGGACATATCAAAATTAGGTCTTGCTGAGTCTTTGTGTGGACTGATTTAGCTTCATTTATTTGAAGGAGGTTTACTGCCATCCAGGACTTTATTTCATTGATGCAGTTGAAGATGTTGGTGAGTTTGGTCGTTTGCATTGAGGGGAAGATAGAGCTGGGTGTCATCAGCATAGCAGTGGAAAGAGATGTCATATTTTTGAATGATTTGACGGGGAAGCATGTAGATGGAGAAAAGAATGGGACCTAGGGTCCCGCAAGGTTCAGTCCTAGGTCCCATTCTTTTCTTTAAAAAAAAGCCTCTGAGTCCTCCTGATGTTGCCTATGTGTTTATTTGTGTCTTGATCTATGTTGGTTGCTGTTTTTGTTCTGTTTATTATTTTACAACACTTGTATCTCTTTTATTCATTTTTAACTGAACAGCACTTCGGTCAACTTGGGCTGTTTTTAAATGTGCTTTATAAATAAATTTGACTTGACTTGACTTGGATCTGTCTGACATGTTACTGAGGCTCTGGAGAAAATGGAGCCGGTACTCTTTGCTGTTTTAGAAGTAGAAAACATGACATTTCCTGTTGCCAGTAGGTGGCACTATAACTCTTACTAAATGTTGACATGTAGATGTGTTCAGGGCCAACATTCATCAAACATGAAAAGTTTGGGGCATTGGATCTTGTATGGTTGAGTTACAAACCACTTCCTGTTTAGTGGCAAAACAAGGTAATTTGATGCCTCACCTCCAACACACGACTTGGCAAAAACTCAAGCTGTGAGCAACTTTTGATGATGTAGGTCTTTAGGTGAATTCAATCGAATCAAATCTGTAGGAGGAGTTGGTCAAAGTACAGCTCCTGAAATCACCAAAAATGCTCAAAAATGGCACAAGATAAAAATGGCTGACTGCCCTGCTGGGTTTAGGGTACGGCGCAATTTTCCACCATCTAGGTGAAAGCAGTTCCACTTCATGGAAATGTTGTGGGGGGGCGCTACTGAGCCATTTTGTTTTTACAAATGAGGATGAGACCCATAAAATATCAAAATGTTCATCAGTTTGGATGTGTGTGCAAAGTTTCATGAGTTTTTGAGCATCATGAGCCCCTCACACACGTCATTGAAATTACTGTACATCGTGACGGCCTGCGTCAGCACTCAGGCTCCAATAAGTGAAAAACTAAACTGATAATTTCATAATTTTTATGCAGGAAAGTTGAATAATGTCTCAGTGCATCAGAAATGTATACCTCAGCCCAACATCATGATCCCCTGAATCAGATTTGTAAGACCGAGCTGTACATTCCCCACGACTGAACCAACTGGATGCTGAAATAACGCTCATAGGAGAAGTTTTTCTTTTAGGCTTTCTCCAACAAACCCCTTTTCAGACAGATCTACTCTTTTCCAAAGCTTAACCAAGAGATCTCTTTCTGGTAGAAAACCCTCGAGGAAAATTTCTTGTAGCTGTGAACGTAACAGACGTAAAACATGTGCGTCACTTTAGATATTTCTATTTTACTGGGAAACAAAGTAACTAAAACAATCACAGAGGAGGAGATTCAATCATCTGACCTCCTTCCTTCCTTCCTTCCTTCCTTCCCTGCCTCCTCCTCACCTTGAAGCTGGAGCTCTTCAGGACCAGGTATCCTCCCTCGATCAGATCCAGGGTCAGTTTCAGGTACAGGTACGAGCCCCGGCTCAGGCTCTTAAGGTGGCTGATCAGCTTGGCCAGCGCCGCGTTGTCGAGGCGACCGTTGCTCAGCGACACGTTGCTCTGGATCTCTGCGCTGCTGTGGATACGCTGCATCAGGTAACCCTGAGAAAAACAAGACAGACATAAATATACATACAGACAGGGAGACAGACAGATGGACGCACAGACTGTGTGCATGTTACCTGCAGGTCCTGGTCTATGGCGCTGTTCTCCTCCATCCTGTCCAGAGAGATGCAGTGAAACGGCAGAGAGCGCGTGACGTCCTGATGAAAGAAACAGAGTTCGTTTGACTTCATGAGTTTGTTTTATGTTTCCAGCTCGACTCAAGTTAAAATAACAACCCTGTTACAGCTGTCTTAAACATTTACCTGATGCAGGGCGGTAGAGTTTTTCAGGACAATAAGGAACAGATCAAGATCAGACTTATTTTGTCCTTAGATCCCCTTGATGACATTAGAATTTACAGGCTTAAGCCGGATTTAAACATGTGTGGTGGACCCTATGGCGTGGCCTAAGCACGTCGCCTATGCCGTTGTGAGCATTTAAACTTGTGCAGTGGTCTGTCTGTGTCACTCTGCAGTTACACCTCCAAAACACTAGTGGGCGGTGGAGGTTTCTGTGAAGTACTGTAAAGTTTAGCTGATTGGTCTGCGCTGCTGTGACATGTAGTTACATGTCTGGGGAGGTGCACGCCAGGCTACGGCGTCAATTCGATGCAGGAGTATAAATCCTGTAAAGGTGTGTACCTGCTGTCCGGTCCTCACAGTGGTGATGACTTTCAACCAGGAAGGAAATTTCTGGATATTTTGGGTCAGGAAGGAAGTTAGTGTGTCACCGTAGTCTGGCCGGTGGAACTCTGCCTCATTCAGTCCATCGATCAGCACGATAAGCCCCGCCCCCTCTACGTGTAACTTCCTCTCTGGAAGAAACAACATGGAACAGATTGAGTTCAGTCCCTGGTGTTACTGGACAGAAGCTGGCAGGATGCAAGCTGGGTTTACCTCTGTAGAGAGCGTCCAGTGGTTCTAGTATTCCTTTCTGGAGGGCGGAGCTTGGATCCTGGATGCAGGAGCGCAGACTGAGCGTGCTCTGCAGCTGTGGCGACCGGTGCAGGAGCTCTCTATAGACCGACAGCTGAGGGGCATCACTCAGCATCGCCGCCATGTTGTGGACGAACTCGGGAACCAGACAGGTGTGACAGTTATCAGCCTGACAGAAGTGATACGAGACGACCTGCAGAGACGGACAGGAAGTAGGCTTGGATCGATCTGAGTTTGTTGGTGTGGAGTTCTTCAGCAGACTTTTAGAGAGAAAAATCTGTGATGAAATGTGTCTGAATAAACATCACAAATCAGTATTAAAGCATTCTGTGTACCAGGAGTGTATCTATGTTCCCAAGGTCCTATGATTTCAAGGTCTTAATTTCTCAGTGTCCTAAGTTCCTAGAGCCCTATGTTTCCATGGTCTAATTTTCCTAAGGTCCCCAGGGTCCTAAGTTCTCAAGGGCCTAAGTTCCTAAGGTTTTTTTGTTTCCAGAGTCCTAAGTTCCCAAGGGTCATATGTACTCACAGTCCTAAATTCTCAGTGTCCTAAGTTCCTAGAGCCCTATGTTTCCATGGTCTAATTTTTCCAAGATCCTTCCCAGGGTCCTATGTTCCTACATTTTTTTTGTTCCAAAGTTCCCTTTTTCAGTATTCTGTAACCTGTCATGTGATACAGTGGATCTAAACAGATCCTACCTGTCCTGAGAGCCTCCTCAGCGCTGCCTCCTGCCTCCTCCTCATCTCTGGAGTCCCTGGACAGCTTCCTCCTCCTTCATCTCCTCCTCCTCCTCTTCCCAGGGAGTCGTGGGAGAAAGAAACAGCCTCTGCATCTGGGGTGAAGGCCGCTACATGGTTATCAGACATGTTTTAAATCTAAAAATACTGTGCCATGGCTGTATGACTCCTCCCACCAGTCCACCCTGTGGTTGTATGACTCCTCCCACCAGTCCACCCTGTGGTTGTATGACTCCACCCACCAGTCCACCCCGTGGTTGTATGACTCCGCCCACCAGTCCACCCCGTGATTGTATGACTCCGCCCACCAGTCCACCCTGTGGTTGTATGACTCCGCCCACCAGTCCACCCTGTGGTTGTATGACTCCGCCCACCAGTCCAGTGTCTCTGACAGTCTCCATCCATGTCAGTGAAAACATGGATGCTTCACACACAGAAGATCTATACAATCAGCACAGTTTCAAGATTAGAGTCACCAATTCAGTATCTGACCAAATGTCTCCCCTTCTGTTCCTGAGATATGACGTTAAAACATGATGATGTCACAGTCAAGCTGACCTTTGACCTTCTCACCTTCATTATTTTATCCTGTTAGACATTTGTGTCAAGTTTTGTCACAATTATTGTATGAATGCTGGAGTTATGACCCAAACACATTTTTGAAGTCACTGACCTTTGACCACCGAAATCCAATCAGTTCACTGTTGAGTCCAAGTGGACGTTTGTGCCAAATTTAAAGGAATTTTCTTAAGATGCTCTTGAGGTATCACTTTCACGAGAATTAGATGAATGCAAAGTCACAGCAACCTCGATCTTTGACCCTTAACCACCAAAATCTACTCACTTCAACCTCGAGTCCGAGTCAAACCTTTGTGCCAAATTTGAAGAAATGCCCTCACATTGTTCTTGAGATATCACATTCAAAAATGAGACAGTGACCTTTGACCACAAAATTCTAATCAGTTTATTCTTCAGTCCAAGTGGACATTTGTGTTAAAATTGAAGACATTCTCTTGAGGCGTTCTTGGGATGTCATGTTCACAAGGATGGGACTGACGGACGAACAACCTGAAAACATGCTGCCTCTGGTCACAGCTATCCCCAACATGGAGCCATAAAAACACAAACCATCTCTCTCAGTCTGCTGCCTTCTTCATTCTCAGCTGAATCTCAATCGTATTTTCTCCACTGTCTGATGTAGTATTTTTTGGCGGCTGTTTCAGCTCTCTGTCTGGTTGCTGATCCTGAGTCTGTCTAGTTTTATTGGACTTTGTGTGATGACTCAGCTCTGTCTTAGATAACGAATACAGTCGTCTTCATGACTCAAGAACTCACTGGGGGTCTTTTAACAAACGTGATACGAGTTCCTGCCAACAGTTTACTGCTGCGTGTCGCCTTCAGGCACCGACCGAGAGCTTGGTAAACTGTGTGATACTGAAATCTAATGATAAAACATTTCTGAAACCACACTGGGACAAAAACCTTGTTTTACTGCCTTACTGGAATGTCTTCTGGTTTCTGGAGCTAAATATTTGTGCATGAGCTGAATGAACCATGAAAAGTCATGCTGCTTTGGTAGGATAGTTGAAAGACATGACTACATTACCATTTGTTAATAAGTCACGCTGTGTTACCTCGAATTCATGCAGAAAACTTCCTGAAAGTCTCATTTATGAGAGGAAATAACTCTCCATAGCAGCAGACGGTGGTGGTCGCATTCAAAAAGGGAAACAGGAAGACCGACAGGACTGATTCAAGACGCTACTTAGCCAGTTAGCATGTTAACAAAACAACCCAAAGTTTAAAGAACTGTATATTTACTGTGTACTAGTGAACAGCAACACAATTACGAACCGTTTCTGCCATAGGAATTCAGTGACTAAAGAAAAATAATTTTACCTAATATAACAAATTTGGGTCCATCTCACGCTCTTGACTTAAATTGTTTGTTTACTTTCCTCACTTCCAATTTTCTTCTCTGCACTGAGCTGAACTGAGAGTATTTTCCTGGAGTATAATCCCTCTCACCTGGCTAACGTGACAAGATCAGATCAGCTGATGGGACATAAAACCTGATAAACAGTCGGAGTTGTGCTGCGTGTTTAGATCTTTGAACCCGATCTGTTCGACAGAATATCTAAAGTCTGTCTTTACTTACGTTTGGGCATCATCTGGCTGCTTTCGGCGGTGGGCCACAAGCGGTTTCCATGACAACTGAGAGCCACCAGACGGGCGATGATGGCCGTTTTGCCGAAGCCCATGTTGCCGACGATCACCACGCCCCGACTGGTCGCTGGGTCGCTGCTGCGAAGACAGGCGTCCACTTCCTGGAAAAGCCACTCCCTGCCAGTGAACAGCCAATCAGACGAGAGACCGGAAACCTCAAAGTGGAGCGGCTTCAGGTTGAGAGAGGGAGTGAAACGAACTGCGGGAGGAGAGGAAGAGGAGGAAGAAGAGGAGAGCATTGTGATTCTGTTTGTGTGTTTAAAAAGTTGCCTACATTCATGTGTGTGTGTTTACCTCTGTGGTCCTGCTGACTACGACTCCCAGAATTCTGTCTGGGCATCCTGAGGGACGTCCTCGACGGGATGTGTCTCTGCTGCTCATCCAGATAGGCCAGGTCTTCAAGGTGGGCGGAGCTAGTGGCTGCAGAGAGAAGACAGACATTTAGAGAACTGTCCAGCCCCCCGGTGGCACACTGCAGGATAAAAATGTTTTCCGAAAGATGGTTTCGGTCACTTTCAGTAGCACTCGTCACGCTGATGTTCAAGTGTTCGTTTTTCTTATAAGTTTGGTTTTAATTTGTTATTTGATGCTGCGTGAGCCAATTTGTGTGTTCACTATCAGTAGCGCTGCTCGTGATTGGTCAGACACGTGTATGTGTGAAAACTCGATACAGCTGAGACTGAATTAGGAGGTTTTTTTGGGTCCATGAACGCAGCACAGACATAACTCTGAGGGGTGTTTGGTTCCTCAGTGGCAGACTGTTGAGTTTGAGTCAGGCGGTTTTATCGATCGGAGCTCATCAGTGGATCAGAGGAGCAGCTGCTGCAGAGGCCAGTGAAAGCAAACTTTCTGTTGCTGCAGTTACACAGGTTACACCCAGCACTCAACTACAAGACATGCAGTTTCCATGGGAACGCAGACAGTTTCATGTTTAAAGTAGGTTGGAAAAACGATGGAAAACACTAAAATGAGAGTGCTGAGTGCTGTATTTCTATATGACGTAACAAACAGTTAAGCTTGTGTTTCACTGGGTTGTTTTGTTCTGGTTTCTCCGCTTTGGACTGGTTCACTTCTTACCTCTCTGGGAGGACACAGTTCGTCAGATTGGGAACTGCAAGGTCCCAAACCCTCCCCGTTACATGTGGTGTCCCTCAAGGATCTGTCCTTGGCCCACTTCTATTCATTATATACATGCTCCCCCTTGGCTGTGTCATCTAACAGTGCGGGATTTCTTTCCACTCATACGCCGATGACACTCAGCTGTATCTCAGGACTGACCCAACCCCTTCAACTGCTCTACCACCTTCATCTTCACCTCTGTCCACACTCACCAACTGCCTGGAGGAGATAAAAGCATGGATGAGTCGTAACTTCCTCTAACTCAACTGTTCCAAATCCGAAGCCATACTTATTGGCACCCCTCATCAGGCCCAGTCATCTTCTATAGGCACCACCACCTTCTCCGACCAGGACATCCCCCTTTCATCTACAGTTACCGACCTGGGCATGACACTGGACCCTCACCTAACATTTGTAAATCACATTAAATATCTGTGTAAATCCTGCTTTTTTCACCTTAAGAACATCGCTAAACTCCGTCCCTCTCTCACCCTCTCTGATGTAGAGAAACTAGTCCATGCCTTTTTCTCCTCCAGGCTCCATTACTGCAACGCCCCTCTAATGGGAGTTCCTGGCAAAAGTCTGCAAAAATTACAGCTTATTCAGAACAGTGCTGCTAGGATCCTCCTGAAAGTCAGAAAACACGAACACATCACATCACTCCGCACATCATTATTATTATTATTTGGTTTCTGACTGATGAAGACAGTTGGGGAATAATTATACAAAATTATATGGCAACTTTCACGTTTTTCCCAAATGACGTACAGATTTGAGGTGTTCTATGATCCTACATGACTCGAAGAATAACGCACACGGCTGCTGCAATGGGAAAAGGAAAATCTCCTACAAAGAGCACGCCCCCCGGACCCCTGGGTTTGGTCTGACCCTGACTGTTTACAACCTGTGGCTCCGCCTCTGCTCAGGGGTCGAGCACAACAAATAAATCCCCAACCTGTAGGAACCTCTGCATGAACACCTATCACATAAATATCTGAAAATACAACCACGAACAGAAGAACGTTAAAGTCACATTTTTCAAATTTCAAATGTCCATCGTTTGTGAAGTCAAGAACAGGCAGGATCTGTAGGGTATTATCAGAGGAGAGCGGCGTCCTGACTTTAACTACGGCTGCTGATAAAAGCTAACGTGAAGTTAACAGCACAGACACAGGATGAGAACATTCAGTCATCTTCAGCCGGAAGAATCAGAGCAAAAACACACCTACCCGAAGTTTGATCCAACCGAACCAGTTACAATCCTCTAACACCACGAGAACGCCACAGCTGCTGCGCCTCGTATCCTGTGTGTGTGTGTGTGTGTGTGTGTGTGTGTGTGTGAGAAACGCCAAACATGTCACTTCCTTCCTTCTTATGACACACAGAGGGAGGAAAGGAGGGATGAGATGTGAACTGGTCGTTTACAGACACGGAGCTCATAATCGCCTCCATTTTATGTTTCTGTGCGTTTGCAGCTTAAACAGACCTGACTCTTGTTACGTGTCCACTGTGTGTCCACTGTGTGTCCACTGTCCAGCGTGGACACAGAATGGAATCAGCCTCACTATGCGACAGAGAGTGATGGATTTCCTTCCTAACAGGAAGTGTGTGTGAGCTCTGAGTCACACACACACACTTACCAGCCACTGAGTTTGGCCGGGGCATGAGGTAGAGAGGAATGGAGTGGGTGGAGCCTGACGAGCGGGCGGAGCCAGGGCCTCGGTCTGGGTGGAGTTTGTTGAGGCTGTAAGTGGAGGCGGCCATGACGTCCTCCGTGCTGTACAGGAAGCCATCTTTCACACTTCCTGCTACCACCATAGAGGAAGAAGACGTGGATGCCACCACCGGCCGGCCCCCCTGCTGCCACAGATTCAGGCTGCTGCCATGGTAACCGTCACCGGGACACTTACCGCCGCCGTCGTCCCGCTCTGCGGCGGACTCGGCAGAGTAGCTGGTGAGTGTGGCTGAAAGAGAGGCGGAGTGTTAGCAGAATGATGGCGTGTGTGTGTGTGTGTGTGTGTGTGTGTGAAGAAGCTGCAGCTGCAGTGTGTCACCTATGATGCCGCTGTCTCTGCTCTCCAGCGTGGAGGTGGGGGAGGTGACGGAGGCGTGGTTGGAGCAGGCGTGCTTGTTGTTGCCACCCTCTCCTCCAGCAGGAGGCTGCAGGGTGGAGCAGGGGGAGGTGCTGCTGCTCGCCAGGCTGGAGGACGGAGAGATCCTCTGTGGGAAAGACAAGAGAGATGAGCATCTGGGCTCCTGATTATTCGGAGGATGGTGTCCTGGGGGATCTCCTCCCAGACCTGGATCAGTAAAACATTCTGGATGTGTGTTTGTGTGAGTTGATCACCTGTCCATCATCCTGGGCGTGGTACGGCGACCCCGGCTCTCCACTGACAATCTTCTCCCCCAGCAGGAAGCCCAGCCTGGTCATCAGAGCGTCAGCTGCCTCGTCCACTGAGGGCGGGGGTCCTAACTCCTCATCCTCACCTGCAGAGCGGCAGAGAGAGGAGAAGAGGAAATGGGTTTGTCTCAAACACTTCAAATCTACCAAAACAGTCACAGGGAACAGAGAGATCAGTTTTTAAGACCTAACACAAATCAGATCTTTGCACTCGAAACTTGTTTTATGCCAAAAACTGAGTGTCTGAAAAGACTGTGACGTTTGGACGGAGCAATGATAGCTCATCTCAGTCTTTATGCTAAGCTAACAGGGGAGGGTTAGATTTACGACTTTAAAAGACTGACAAACTAAAATGTGTGTCCTCAGCCCGTCTATAAACCCCTTTCCCTCCACCTTTCAGAAAACATGTTCACACAGGCTAATCTGACATTCTTCCTTTCATGAGGTCATGCGGGGAAATAACATCTCAAGCTAGGTGTTCGTTCCAGTAAAACAAAGACGTTGAAAGTACGAGGAGACCACGCCATTGCTCTGTCGTTGGCTGCACAAACGACCACAGAGGCCTTTTTTTACTTGCCATGTCTGAGGATCTGAAGACCCAGTGGACTCATTTTGTTTTTGACATAAATGTCCCCACAACAGCTGCTAAAGTGTTGCGCGTGTGCTCACCATTTCACTTCGGACTGCTTTTTTCAACGAGAGCCGGTACAAAGCAGGATTCACTACATTTCTGGAGATAAAACATGGATCGGTACCGAGTGTCCGTGAACCAACTTCACAAGTGGGAGCTGTAAGTTTTACTGTTTCCTGTTGTTTCACTTTGTACAGCATGATGGTGTGTTGGGTGTGTTGTTAGCATGGCAGCTAATGTGGGCGGTCACTGGGAATTTAATTTAAGGTCAAATTTACAAAAACCAAAACTGAAGAAAACAGGACTGAACAATTATGCGAGTGCTAATGTTAGCTTGCTAGCTAACACTCTGCATTTTATGCCGGGTATATATATATATTGGCAGAAATGTAATCTAATACAATCAATGTGCTTTTTCAATCAATTTAGATCCCTTTCAATTTAGAAGTTGAAAAAACTTTAACTCAGAGCAGAAACAGTGCCACACGTCATCTCTGCTTTTTTCGTCATGGTCATGACAACAAGTTTACAGGTGGTAAACAATGGAGGAGAAACTGGTGGTAGTGGTTGCTGGATACCCAGAGCTATACTACTTTACAAAGCACAGTTAGCACCATGTTAATAGAAAACAGCAGTTAAGTGCAGTACTGTAAACGTCCATGATGGAGGAGAAGCTCCTGGACCAACTGGTGGTACTCCCCATGATCCAGCCTCTTTTTTAGGGTCTCATGTACCCACACAGATCTCTGTTTATCTGCTGACAGCCTCTCACCCTCAACCAGAGCTACAGACAGCACCCTCTGCCTCAACATGGCAGCAGCTACACACTGATTACTGCAGGATACACAAACTGTAGATTGACTACACGGGAAGGTTAGGGTGAGGAGGTGATGGGCTGGTTGCCTGGCAACAATAAAGAGGTGCAGCAAGCGTTTTCTTACTAGTGGCATTCAGTTAAAAAAAAAAAAGGCAGTGGGGCACGCCTCATGTTTTGCAACCTGCAAAACACTTCCTGTGTGATCAGGGTCTTCGGGTGTTTTCACACTTGGTCCTTTTCAGCCCTCTAAATGGACTCAGTGAAGACTTGAAGAGAACTCAGACTGTGGCACAGTTCACCTGTGACCTGTGAACACAAAGTGCTCCAGATTCACTTTGCTCTGTGTCGTTGTATTCAGCCGTCTGGATCACATGATGCTGACCTGGGACGCTTGAATAAAACAGACAAACCCACGTTGGCCTGTAACGCTTGCAGGGACGCAGGACGAGGAGCAGTTTGGTCCACAGCAGATACTGCACGTCTCCAGATGTGGAAGGTAGAACACATCAAACAGGAACACTCAGGTTCTCCTCCAGTTTTAGTTCATCTGAAGGCGCGGGGCTTCATACACCCACTGCAGTGACACGTCAAAACTATATCAATGTATTTATTATATTAAGGCGAGAGTGTGAACTGGTCCACTTTTGGTCCACTTTCAGAGGACTGAGTTCAGTTCGTTTTAAAAGGACTTTATATGAAAACACTCAGAGTGAACAGGCGCTGTGAGACAGAAACTGAATCTGCAGTCTGACCATTGACTCCTCACAACATGAGATCTGTCCAATCAGAGGAGGTTATGAAAATAGAACAAAAGAACTTGAAACACACACACACACACACACACACACACACACACACACACACACACACACACACCGAGGCATGAACTCAAACACAAAGCCCACTGGGAAGATTGTGTGTGGAACACTAATTGATCTCCATGTTAATATATTCACTATCATGACCTAAATATGCCACGAGTAGACACACACACACACACACACACACACACACACACACACACAGAGACTGTAAGCCACAGCAGTCTGTTTCTCCGACAGTCTGTAATTATACAGCTATAAACTGCTGACTGCTGGACTAGAGAAGCATCACACACACACTGAGGAGACTGTGTGTGTATGTGTGTCTGTGTGTGTCTGTGTGTGTCTGTGTGCAGTTGCACATACGTGTGTGTGTGTGTGGTCAGTCAATGACAGGGTGTGTGAGTCATTTTTAGAAGAAGAAAAATAAAATGGAAAGATCAGATACAGAGACTTTTCCACTTTACTGATTCCTCCTCTCAGTCCCTCCCTTCCTTCCTTCCTTCCTTCCTTCCTTCCTTCCTTCCTCCCTCCCTCCCTTCCTTCCTTCCTTCCTTCCTTCCTTCCTTCCTTCCTTCCTCCCTCCCTCCCTTCCTTCCTTCCTTCCTTCCTTCCTTCTCCACCTCACATGCTGATTGTTCAGGTAAGAACGCTGCAGGTTCAACCTCCCCCTCCTGTGACGGCGTCCTGCCTTCGAGTGTGAACAGCCATAAACACTCGTGTTGTTTGTTGCCTCGTTCGCTTTAATCACACCTGTGTAGATGTTCCTCCTGTCGGGTCGTTTTCAGCTCTGAGGTCGGTTCAGAGGAACACAGAGTGGGAACATGACAGATGCAGGGATCAAACCTGCAGCTGGGACGGAGTTAGGTGACGCAGAAATGTGTCGTGGTTTTCAACCACAAAAACAGCAGATGTGACTGAGACTTTAAAACCAGCTGAGAACGACAGAAAAGCTAAAAATCAGAACCAAGACTCTCTGACATCACTGAATTCATCTTTGACATTATGAGTCAACAACTGATGAACAGAAGAGACCACATATGATTCGTACATTTACTCATGTACCTAAGTACAATTTTAACATACTTTATCTCAGAGAGAACTACTGTACTTTTTACTGCTCTACACACAGCCTAATTTTTGTTTTATTTATTTTTAAACCCATTTGTAACCAGGTAAGTCCCGTAGAGATAGCGCTGTACAGAGAAAACAGGAAGAAAATCTGCGACTGACAGGTGTTAGCATGTTAGCATGTTAGCTGTTAGCTCGTCAGCTACAGTTGTTTACCAACTAGCCCTGGAACAAGCATGGATGAATTCCTCTGCGACACTTTCTGGTGCGACCAGATATCATTCAACAACCAAAGTGACTGACAAGAGAATTCAGGTACCGTTAGCCATTAGTAGGGCCGCCCCCCTAACAGCCGACCAGAAAGGTCATTAGTCGGCAAGATTTCATTGGTCGCTTAGTCATAGAAAAAAAGTTTTTGCTCAGCTCTAACAGACGGTTTAATCAGAGGTGCTCTGAACGGGAAAGCGTGTCACTAGACATCAGTGTCAGTTACACACTGGAGTGCGTGTTTTGGTATGTGCATCCTACAATGTGATTTTGCCCAGTAGGACCAGCTCCTGGATCAACATTGCAATCAACCAATCACAGCCCTGTGACATCATCAGTGTGCTGCTCCTGTGCTTCTTTCAAAATTCCTTTGGAGCTGAGTAAGTTTTCAAAATTAGTTATTATGATTAAACAAAGTCCTCATAACCTACTGCAGGGTTAGTGAGTTAGCTTGCTAACTACGATAGCTATGCTAACAGGTAAACTTGCCAATAGGCTAAATTGTTGTTCACTAACATTAAGAGGAAGGATAATGTTATTTTACAGCTGCAAAGACCTGCAAAAGACATATTTTCCCTATCACTGTCATGTTGATCTTGAATATCTCTACTATGTTGACATAAACTAGTGATCCAGAATCAGTATGATGATGATGATGATGATGACGGTCCTGGATCAACCAAATCTATCCAAGTTCAAGATGGAAAAAAGGAGGGAGAAATTTGCAACAGAAAAATGATATTATTCTCACTCTAGCCTATGGGCAAGCTTAGCATAGCATACCTAGTTAGCAAGCTAGCCTGCTAGTATTCTTGTCCATTGGCAAGTTTACTCGCAAAAATAGTTTTGACGAGGCTGTCAGACAGAGGGAAAATGTGTCTGTAACTGTGTGCAACTGTAAAATAACAATACTCTTACTCTTACTGTTACTGAACAACAATTTAGCCCATTGCCCTACATGTTTACTTGTTAGCATAGCATACCTAGTTAGCAAGCTGACTCGCTAACCCTGCAGTAGCTTACAGGGTTTTTGTTCAGTGTTACTGAGGATTTTGTTTAATTGTACGAACATAAATTTGTAAAACTAGCTCAGCTCTGGAGAAGCACAGGAGCAGCACACTGATGATGTCAGAGGGCTGTGATTGGTTAACTGCAATGTTATTTCAGGAGCAGGCAAAATCAAGTCTTGCTGCATGCGTGTCAGTGAGTGTTGAAAGTGTTGGTTATATGTTGATGACAGTGGGACTTCCTGGTTAAATAAAGGTAAAAATAAACAAATAAATAAAATCATGGAGGAAGATGAACCGCTCACACAAAATAACATTTTCATTAGTAAATATGAAAGAAGCCCCACAGGTTGACTCGACCCTGACAGAAACCTGTCGGCCTCAAAAACAAGGACCCTGCTACAGAGAGAGTCCTTCACTCTCACCTTCCTCCTCACTCCTTCCTCTTCCTCCTCTCTGAGATCCACCAGGACGATCCACCCATTCCCGACACAGCTCAGATCTCTCCTCATGCGACGCACAACAGCAGGTGTAAAACAACAACCGCCGCACGAGGGAAGAGGCGTGACTGACGACCCCTGCTGCCATGACATGTCCGCCGCAGCTGCAGCCACTCGCCGGTCTCCACGGGTGACGGATGGAGGACCGCTCGTGCCGACACCACTTTGCTCTGGTGCGGGCGCACGCTTTCAAAATCGCCGCCGTGCAGTCCATGGCTAGCTGGCGGTGGCACTGTGATTGGTTCAGAGCGGTTCCATGTAGAGACGACAAATCAAAGAGCCGTTACCGAGAACAACAGACGAGATTCTTCAACTCAGCAGTTCTCTCTGTCTCTGTCGTGCTGTTGGTCGTCTCCATCAAGCTTTATTGGTGGAAGTTTAACGCACATGACATCACTAACCAGTCCTGAGCTCCTCCTCCTCCAGAGGACACAAAGGAGAGAGGGAGAGGAAGATGAAGAAGGTATGAATAAAGAGATAAGAGAAGAAAAAACACTCGAGGAACTCCAACTTCTGAAGCCGAACGGCTGCAGTTAATAAGGACGGTCAAACGTACGAACACTGAGGTCAGACTCTTCATATGTTCAGTTAAACTCTGCCGTTACTTTCAGAGCTGAAACCAGAATCCACGAGTCTTCACACAGCAGATCAGGACCATGTAATCCTCTGCTTATTGTCCTTTGTTGCCCAAAAATGCAGCCCTCTTTCACTCACAGCCAGAGCCTCCCTAAAACCAGGCAGAAAGAGCAACAACAGCTGAAGCCTGAGGTGGAAAAAATAAATCTCCTCTCAGATGAAGTTTCTCTTCAGACGGAGGCTCGAGAAGTAAAGTTTCCAAGAGCTGAAGAGTTTTTCTTTCAGCCTCCATATCTGCTCTGAAAGACGACCTCCCTCGTCTGACTGCACTGCAAATCAAAACCTCCCCTCCTCCAACCCAACACACACACACACACACACACACACACACACACAGAGGAGGAGCTGAGCGCAGAGAGGAGTAATCAGTTACATGTCGAGGAAAGTTTGGACTGAAGAAAAACAGCCAGAGAGGAGATCCTGGAGGAAGACTTGGATGAAGGTCGGCAGACCAAAGAAATGCTGCAATTAAAGTGAAACTGCTTCTCCGAGAACAGAAGAGCGTCTCGCCACAAATCACAGTGAAGACGGAGGGTTATTATCCACCGTCGTCCAAAAAGTCTGAGTTAAATGACGATTAAATGTTTCGCTGATGTTTTTAATCAACAGAAAAAGATCTTCTCAGTGACAACAGGAAACAGACAGAGACGGGGTCGGGGCCAAGACGCAAAGAGTTGGACTGAGATTTAAAGTCGTCCTGAGGTTTACAAAAACAGATAATAAGAGAGAAATCTGCTGGACACAAGCAGAGAGCAAGAGAGGAAGAGGTGAAGACGAGAATAACAACATTTCGCATTTTCAGGCTGAATGACAAACTGCATGAAAGCAGATTTATAGTTGTGTGTTAAGGTAGACTACGTTGACATGATCAAATCTGTGCAGGCGAAACGCTATATGTCATCATAGATCGTTTCTCACGCTGGGGGGAAGCAGTTCCATCAAAAGATCTTGGTTCAGAAACTGTCATCAAGTTTCGGTCAAGAGAAGTCATTCAACACTTTGGTGTCCCTTCACAGATACGTTCAGACAATGGCTCCGCGTTGGGACTTAAAGTAGCCGAAGTTCTACAACAACTACAAATCAAACAAAGACTTTCGGATCGAAAATAAACAAAATCTGTGCGAGCAGGAAACTGAACTGGGTAGATGCTTTGCCTTTCGCACTGATGAGTTAACGCATGTACACTCACAGAAGCACTCAACTAACCAGCAAGAAATGCTCACAGGTCGACCTATCCCTACAAGGGACCCCCGCTAGAGCAACTGCAGATTGAGCTGAAAGACTTTATGAAGTAGCTAAATGCCGTCCATAGTTCAATCTATCTGCAGTAAAAAAGGAGAGAACCAAGTCTCGACCGAGCCTTTGAGAAACCAGTGTTGCCAGGTGATCAGGTGTACATCAAAGTCTTCAGAAGAAAGTGGCCCGAGCCAAGGAGAGAGGGACCCAACATGGCGGTGCCAGCAACTCCCACAGTAGTCCAGGTCGAAGGAAGCACAACGTGGAATCACCTGATTCACTGCACGAAAGTTCAAGGAAAGAGCAAAGGTCTGGATACATTACCCCCACAAATACGACATGCTAACATTATTAGCACAAGCCTATGGTATTTTACATTGTATAAATTAGCCTAGCATCTAGCAGAGTTGGGTCGATTTCTGGGTTTGTCTGGTCTGATGTACTGGCTTAAACCAGTTTGATTTATGCGAAATGGCTGAACTGATATTTGGAGGAGAGGAGAGGAGAGGAGGGGAGGGGAGGGGAGAGGAG